GGGGTGGACACTGGGGGACGATAAACCACGGCCAGAAGGCACGTGTCGTTGCGTCTCAGTCGCAGGCTGCACTAGAGTGAGTCTGTGTCAGCATTTACGGATCGATCACCGGTTCGCACTGCAGGTCCTTCCAGTAGTATTACCTTACCCTTGCCCCTGCTAGGGCGATCGTTTCGAAGAAGGGACATACAATGTATCGCGACGTCGGCATCGGTACTTTCGGAGCGCGACCAAGTTTCCGTGACGAATATAACAGGCATGTGACATTTAACGTAGACGCAGTTCAGCAAGCTTGTTCAGGAGACCTTGCGCATTAGTGTACATGAAGGAAAGTTTCTCTGTACTTAGCAGCGAATCGTGGAATGCCTGTTTTGGGTAAACTGCTGTGTCAACTGGCGAAAGGTCAGCCACTCATCGTTCTTTGGTTGTGGCGATTACGAACCCATTTGTGTCAGATCCGTGGATCCCACCAGTCCCACTTTGCTTCTCTCTTTGCAGATTATGTATGCGGGGTTTTGGCCAATTTCGCTGGCTAGTTGATTGAGGTTATCCGAAGGCTTGTCGGGAAGTGGTGCGACTAAGTGGCTGCTCTCCTGTGTTTGTTCAGCAGGTGCTGCTTTGATCCGGATCTCGGAAAGAAGGCTGTTGCTGCCCGCATATCAGCACTGCCTCACCATTACTGACATCTATCTGGATTGAAGGACCATTTTCACAATCCTCGGGCCACATCACTTGTAGTTTGGCGATCGGCGCAACCTGGAGATAGATTGCGTTGTGACATTTTCTAGATAGAGGGTCATGCGAATGTATCGCTATTGTTCCTGGTCGCTTCGCGCTCATCATGAATCCCAGCCTTGGGGAACGCCATGTGTAGGGATGGTCCGGGCTACGGATTCCTCCCGGTTTTCGTCCAAGTAGTGCTTCGCTCCACGCGCTCGCGCCACGGAAAATCCGGAAATAGGCGGATGGAACATGACCCATTCCGTAGGCGAAATTACGACGACGGAACAGCTTCCGCTTCATTGGCGGTTGTCAATACAACTCGGAAAAGTCTTGGTTCACCGCGGTGCTATGAGTTTGGGTGACGGGTAACGCGCGTCCAACTGACGGGCGTAGCTACAACACCCATAACGTCACATATGGAGTTAAGCTGGTTCACTTCATCAAGTTGTTTTCCCTTTAAGGAATTTGACTTCGATGTTGGAATGTTGGTGCACATTACCGCTGGTATACTACGTGCAACTCCGGTTGAGGTTAAACGACCATCTGGTCTGTATACACCAGATGGAGGTTGTTTGGGTACAACTTCGTCTTCTTCATTTAATCTGGGTCCAATGGGAGTGGCCGAAGGTCAGTGTTTTCGGTCACCTTTAGCAGTAACTAACTTCCAACCACCACTGATGTCGAAATCCTTCTGCATTTTCAGTACTGTTTGAAGGCTGGAGGAGGCCCTGACCATGCTCACTGCAATCGGACTGGGGGTAATTGTTTCAGGCATATTGGATCAATTGGTGGTATTGAAGTTTAAAGCGATAGATGATGTGCTTTTAGCGCGCTGCCCAGCCTTCTCCCTCAGTTTTAATGCACGGCGCGATGTGAATGACTGGGATTACGTCTCTGTCACGCTTTCTTCAAATGCATCGCTTTTGGTGCTCCTCATCTGTTCAGTCATTGCTACCAGTCTTTGCTACTTCTGCGATAGTTCATGCACAAATGTTACCAGCGGAATGACTATACATAGGGAACAGAACCACAGTTTACAATTGTGTAACTTTAATTGAACAATGAACGATGAGTTTACACGCGTTAAGAAGTGTTGCTTTACAAATACCGTTGGATAGTTGGTAGGGAAATGGACGCAACAACAATAATAATAATATTAATAATAGTAAAACAATTATTACTTTAAATATGCAATAAGTACTTAAGATTTGCTCCGCTGTAGCCCTGCACTCGGCTTAGATTCACAGCACCCACAGGTAACATCAAATAACTCCATGGTAAACTCCAAGTGTAGGATAGGGACGTAACGCTATGTGGCAAAGTGTAAGTGGATGAGTGCGTCATCCAACCGTCTTTAAATACTGTTAGTGTGGGTGCAGATAGACCGATTATGGGAAAGCATTCCACGGGTGTAAACACGAATGAAAAAGAAATTCCTGATGCACTGAAGGCGGCTATACCGTTCTGCGAGTTTCAATGAGTGGCTCCTCAGGTTTGTATTGTTGCCGAATTGCAGTAATGGGCGGCACACATCATGTGGGTCTCGCAGAATCAAGTGCGCCATAATCAGGTCGTCTCGTAGTCTGCGATAGCTTCCACTTAATACCCCAACCGTTGTAGCCACTCCTGGTATGAAAGGTTGTGCATTCCAATTACAATCTTAGCTGCCCGACATAGTTGCTTCTCCAGTACATAACGGTCGTGTTTCAGCCATGGATGTCAGGCTTGAATTGCGTATTGGACATGGGGGCGAACGTACGCACTGAGTATTCGTCGAAATATGGAGCTGTTTGTTTGGCCAAAAGCCCGTCGCAACAGCCTGACGTGTTGGTTCCCAGTCGTCGATGTCTTTTCGGATTGACTGGAGCAACCCAAATCCTCTTGAACTAGGACGCGCAAGTCACGTTTGACAGTTGAGTGTTGCAGTACATTTGTTCCGACCCGGTATGAGTAGCTACTCTTATGTCGGCTGTAAAGTATCTTACATGTACACACGTTGAAATGAAGTAACTTTTGGATTGCCCATTGATACACCGAAGCTAGGTCACTCTAAAGCACATGTTCATCGACGTTCCCCTGGATCCGGCGCCAGATCTTGATCTCGTCGACAAACATTGGGAAGTTTGAAGAGATTCCCTGCTCACCGTCATTATTATAAACCAAAAACAAACTTGGACCTATAACCGATCCTTGCTGCACACCACACTCAACTTGTATGGGGGCCGACAAAGAGCTCCGAACTCTGACCACTAATTGCCGTTGAAGTATAAAGTTGTCAATCTGTAATGCTGGAGCTCGGTGAGTATTATCTGATGGTCTAGACGAGCGAAAGCTTTGGAAAAATCCAGGTAGATCACATCAACGCCTTCTGCAGTGTCAGTTGCCTCAGTCCAACTAGTGTGTGCGATTAGTAAATTCATTGTACATGACCGCTGTCGACAGAAGCCGTGCTGCTCAGGTGTGCTGATGTCACGGTTTTCCAGATAACACACCAGTGCACCGGCGAATGATGGATTCCATGACCTAGGAGACCATAGGAAGAAAGAATACTGGGCGGTATTTGTAAGGACCAGTTCTGCTTCCACGTTTTGAATCGTGGGTATTATTTCAAGCTTTCACATAGTGGGAACTTGGTACCGGTCTAAGCAGAGCTGAAAAAACTGATCTAAAGGTCCTGCTATTTGGCTTGCTGCTGCTCTCAATGCCCCTGGACGAATGGTGTCGACACCCGGATAGCTGTGTTTGCATAGAGACGTCAGCTTTTGAAATACAGTCTCCGCGGTAAAATTGGGTTAGTCCTGGCGGAGAGACGACAAAGGTCGAAAGCTCACTTGGTGGCAAGACCCTCTGAAACGTGGGAAGATATTGCACCCTTATCGCTTTTGCTGCTTCCACAGCCGTCCTTGTTGGGCCATTGGTTGTCCTGAGTAGAGGAACTAGTTGCCTCACCTTTCGTATGCTATTGACGTGTTTGTGCAGTAGTTTGAGGTTAGCACTGAAGATTTTTGCAATGTTCTGCTGGTATTCGGTTTTGTCATCTCTTATCAGTTGAGTGTACTGGTTACGTTGGGTTACGTAGTTCTCCCAAGTTTCTGATGCTGGAGCTTCTCTGTACACTCGCCATGCTACTTTGCGTACTGCCATCCATTTTCGAGTTATACTCCTAAGGAAAGAAACTGATTTACACTTATTGCAAACTTTTATATTTGAAACCTCTGAAATCAGTTGACGGAAGTTTTTGAAGAACACGATCCAGGCGACTTCCTAGGGTTCTTCGTCAAGGGACGGCGAAGTTGTAGCGCTGAAGTGCTGGGTTAATCCATTGTGGCTTGTGATGGCTCACACAGCCTCATCGTTCTCTTTCCGATATTCCAGACAGCAGACGAAGTCGAACCTGATCACTGCGTGATCACCACGACACAATGGGCAGTTTAAAACCAACACATCATTCATATGCTCTTTGTTGGTAAGCACATGATCCAGCGCATTTGGCCTCTTATCTTTTCTGAACCGAGTGGGCAAAGTGATGTCATTGTAACGGGGAACAGTGGTTACGTGATCTAGTAGATCGGCTTTGAATTGTTCTCTGAGCGTGGCAGGAGTTTCTACACAACGTACGTGGCAATCACCCATGATAAGTATGTGAGTGTACTTTAGTTGTAAACTGCATCTTAAAGCAGCCGCTAGGTGGCAGTCGGTTTCGGATGTAGAGTTAGGGGGCGGTACACCAAGACAATAAAGCAAGCATCGCTGTATTTAATTACAAGCGGCACCACAGATATTCGCGGAACTGCGAGTCTAAATCCGCCACTGCTTCGCACTGTAACTCGCTTTGGTAATACAGAATTAGCCCTCATCCTTTTATGAACCTATCTTTCTGAATCAGCGACATGCCCGGTAGCAAAACTTCAATATCCGTCGTTCCCGTGTTCAACTACGTCTCAGTAATACCAATGACATCATATGAGCCAGAGGCTTGGCGATCTATCAGTTCGGTCACTTTATTAAAAAGACCCTGAGCATTCGTACACAGGCAGGCCAGTTTCTCGGTCTTTAGGAGCCTGGTCATTAGTGTATACCGGTTACGAAAACACTTGAATCTGACTAACATGTTTGTTAGCTTCTATCAAGAAGCACATTCGAAAGGGGGGTAATTTGTACTGTCTGTCAGAACAGATCGGCCCTCCTCTACATACAGCCCACATTACTCACTTCAGAGTTTGATCACAGCTTAAAATCCTTTTCTTGCTCTTGTATCCTGATTCTCTCTATCTCAGCGCGAACGGTCAACTCCGTGGAAGCGAAGATGGAAGCGAATCTGATACAGAGGAGGCGGATTTCACGGTTTATGAATGCCCCGCTTTGGCTGAGGTGAGTAATATATCTGAGTGCACTGCTATCATCTATTTGTAGTAATGAAAGCTGTGTAGACCTCATATGAAAATAAGCAATCACTACGTTACAACCAGTCATTCAGCAACTGCGGAAAAAACCCGAACACTATAGATGCAGAAGTCCCTTCAAACTGTGTGTGCAAACGCGCCTTTCAAACGTGTGGCTGATTGAGCAAGCTGAGCATCGTTCCTCTTGTTCGGTCAGTCGAACATATGGTTACTTTACACTCACCAAATGTTAAGTCGTCAACGCTTAAACCAGTGTACGTTACCAAAAAGGGATGTAACACTATTGGGTGAGCATATTATTCACACGGTTTACAAACGTGACCATCCCGAAGACGTACCAACATATCCGCAGTCTGACGTTCACCTGTCGAACTTTGGCTGAAGCATAACCAATGACCCCGAAATGAGAACCAATTGGAAAACAAGTTTGCATCACAAAGTGCATGGTTCTATTGAAAAATATAAACTGAAGTAAATTGAACAAACCTCAATCGTTCAGGATCTTGGTGTATCACCGTCAACAGTCAGATGCAATTAGATTTGGTGGGGCGGATAATTGAGCTGTCGTAACCATTGTTCAAACCAGACCACCGGAGGACAAGTGAATACACGCCAAATGCGTGAAACTATTCACAGATTTACAGTGGTCAATTCTAACTCGTCCAATCTCGCCATGTGAGAAGGGTGCGAGGCTAGAGCACACAGAGGGCGACAGCCAAATGGATGACCCCACGCGCATCGTATTGATAGCGTCACCACACTAGGGGCATGGAGATTTGTTACAGTTGACGCAAATTGCAATGGGATCAAAGAGGTGCATAGTTGAGGAAGGCGTAAACAGGAAGCGCACAACTGGACAAAGGTTTGGGCGAATGGTGGGTTGAACAGTCAAAAACGTGAGCAAACGAGGGGGTTAATTTAGGGTGATCATAATATCTGGGCTTTTTGAGGACCTGATTCATTGTACGAACCGTCCTCGTATTCACGAAGCTAGCTAATTGAACAAACTGAATATCACCGTCCAACTGGTGGCCAAAGCTGCCTTCCATAGTTATGTTCCCCATAATGCATAAATCCGCTGCAGACCGAGACGAACGGACTTCTTGCGTCTGACATTGTTTTGGAACAATAAACAGTCTGCTGCGACTGTGAATTGGACGGTTTGAAACGGTGTTAATTTTCTGGTCACAGGTGGTCGCGGTATCACCCATGAGCACAGTTCAGAATGCGGTCTTTCCTTACGGTTGATCCCTTCATTAAATGGAGGCTAAGGTGTACTTATAGATGAGAAGTAGGCATGCGCGTTAAAAGCGAGTGCCATCAGACCAACAAACTCAGGCTTGAAGCCGCCGGAACTGTTAGGTTCAGTTAACCCCAGTATCACTATAGCTCGAACACCAATTTATGTGCTCAGTAAGGTAAATGAAATTTGCTTTGTGCGAAGAGAAACACCTGTCAAAACGTGTGTGTTCAGCCCAAATGGAAATCGGCATGCAGTTATGGTTGATTATTTATCCAAATGCAAGGAGCTATCATTGGTTAATTTGTGTACCTTTGGCACAATTGTGCCTTGGAACAAAGCTTAGACGCATATCCACCCACACAACAACCTGAATTCTGAGGTGTCCTAGTGAATGTAAACTTTTCCATGGATTAAACACTGGTAGCATCTTCTGTCGCAAATCCGCATGGTTATTCCTAACGAACGCTTCAGCAGTGCAACTTGCACGACACGCCCATAATTCCAGCTTGGGTAACACTTGGTCTAAGAATAGTTAGCTTGCAATCACACTCTTACTGAAAGTTGCGAATTTGGTGACTACACGGAGAGCAGGCAAATATTCGGATTCATGTTTTAAATCTAATGTCTCCCAAACACTGAGGATATGTAAGAAATAGTCACTGATCTAGCACTAAAAAATTACCACTAAAATCCTGCTACTGAAGAGTAATATAAAGTCATAATGATCAGGAGTGTCCGCTGCAGCAGTTTAACCCAAGTCTATATCAAGCACTGACGAGTCTCCAAAAACCCAACAGCAACCGAATTCGCGACGGTGGACCAAATCACAAACACGCTTTCCACAACTTTTACCAATAATTTAACAGGAGTCACTCTCTCACTTTTATACCAAGGCACACGTCCTTTTCAGCAAACTGATAGGACTCCGGCTGCGCCATGCCACGATGTCCTGGGACATTCTGATAACCGAGATGTGATTGAGTGAAATGATCACTGACGCCGAGATCGTTTTACCACAGATGTCTATGCTGCGCAACGATCAAGCGCAGTGTGCTACCTCTTTATGTTTTCAACTTCACGAAGGTCCAGATTATCGAACCATTTTGATGCCGCCTGCACCTGAGACGCGGCGACACACGTACTGTGGGTCGTGTACAGTCCGCCATCGCTTAGTTCCGAAATGCAATATCGTTTAGTATCCAATTCAATGCCAAGCATCGTATACATTGAAATTGCGCATCGCGATATAATCCTACAACCAGTACTTTAAAACGACCATCCACTCAGTCATTAACAGTTGTGTCAAGAATTGCACACCTAGTCGGTGGTTAAACGTTCAGAGGATTCAAGTAACATCAAAATGGTTCCGGGTTGGACGCCTGTTATATCTACCTGATGAGATTAAAAAATGTCAAAATGCTTCCTGGAATGCAGGGTTTTGGGCGCGCAATACCCAATTCCCATCTGCTTCAGCTACAGTCTTGGTGCTCGAATTTCCAAGGTTCATTTCATTTCGAATCACGGTTCAGATTGAGATCGCGCTTCGAAATCCAACCCGTCACCGAACACTTCAAAGTTACCCTTTAATCACTTACAGGTTACTTTGAGTAAGTTGCCAGCATTGCATCAGAACACCATGGATCCCGCAAGAACTGGTGTTGCAAAACAAAACTACTACCTGTTCGATCCAGGTAGACCTAAACAGTCTACAGCAATATGGTAGTTGACGCAGTTTATCTGGAATTCTCGAAAGCCTTCGGACTTTGAATAACCGCAATCTCCTTCACAAAATTCAGAGCTTCGGAATTTGTGATCCGATCAGAGGTTGGATAGGTAACATCTTTCTTCAGCAACATCCGAGTGTGGGAATTCCCAGCGCAATCTCTGACTTCGTCGAAATCCAGCACGGTGTGCCACGCCTATTCTAAATTTACATACACCATCCCGTATGAGTGATCACCACAAACGTCTTACTCATTGCTAGGGATTTCAGGTTATGGCAGGCCATGAAGACAACTGGGAAATATGTGGCACTGCGGAACGATCTCCATAGGGTTTGTGAGTGGATGATTCAGAATCTGTTCCATTTCAATGCGGCCAGGTGTAGGACATTGAGTATACGACAGCGATGCTATCGCAAGTGTAGGGTGTGTTCATGTTTTGCAGCGTGCTTCTATTGAACACAGTCTAGACATGCTGGTACAAATCGATCTAGGCTGTTCATCACAGGCCATGAAGGTATGCAATAAATCAACTAATAACATGGCTCGTTCGTTCGGTTTAACCCTTCCATCTTCTACTAGATACTAGGCACCTACATTGGATCTCTTTCAAAATACGTAACCCAAGCCTGGCAGCCCTGGAAAAAGCACAAGTTCGCCGCATTCGAAACACCAGAATAGTGGGCAGTCAAGAAAAAAGAGGGCTTGTTTTATCTACAGCGCATCTTCAGTGCACCATATCGGAGCCTGTGTAGCGATTCGATGATGTGGTGTCAGACCCAGGGGAAAACCGTTTTGAAGCACCTAAAACTTACCACACCGATAGATCACTAGATAAAGTTGACCACACCGTATGGTCGGTTTCAATGCTGCCTGGATTTTCTTTCCATTCATACGTATCAAACGTGAAACCTCATCCTTACCTGTACTTGAAAAACCTCTTGTTGGCGCACTCATGCATTTGTATTGCGCCATACGACGCTTTCTGGCTTGTCACAAACGTAGTACAAACATACAATGTGCACAGTTGTACTTTCTGATAAATCCGCAACACTTGTTTGATTTCATTGAAGTTACTTTGTCTCATGGATTATCCTTCCTTTGCTTTTCTCCATGATAACTGTTCGATTCCATTGATTATTTAATCGCAAACTTTCGGAATATGCATACCTCGGTAACCAACAATTCGTGATTTACTTCGAACAGCGTTGCGTCTTCTCGTGAGAAATCATATACTGGAGGAGAAGGTATAACCATGTATTAGTGTGTCATACCTGATGAACGCAGTAAATAAACCAAGCGCTTCTGCTTATCTCAATGTTCCATAGTTGTGACATGATCAGGGACAGTTTTTATCTAAACACTGTAATGACAGGATGACTTACAG